CCTGCCACATCCCCCCTCCCCTGCCACATCCCCCCTCCTCTGCCACATTGAGTAATCTTGTTACTTGTTTGTTGGATAGTGTATGGATATTGTAAGGAGAAGTTACATTTAAATCATATAAAACTAAAACAGAGTTTCATAGGAGTGTGAGGCTTGCTCCCCATTCTCTTTTATAGTAAAAAACAAAAAAAATTTTTTCTATGACAAGGAGTTGATTAGTGAATCTTCTAAGAGACACAGTGATTTGCTGAGTGTTTAGGGTAGTTGCTATATGATTTATGTAACACGTCATCTTAATCTTGTCTAGGGAGTTACAGTGAACACAATGAAAGGCATTCTTGAAGAAATGATGACACTATTTCCTGATCAGTACTTTCATCTTGGTTTGGATGAAGTGATAACTACATCTGTGTGTACTATGGAAAGTAAGTCTGTTGAACAGTCACACTAAGTGTTGACAGGTCCAAGGATCAACGAAATCAATTTTATTTGTTAACCCTTTCACCTTCAAGAGTGACCAGCATCTAATTTCTCCTTACAATATCAACCCTGAATCAAACATTTAGTTGTGAGAATAAAGGAAATGATCGTCAACCAAAAAAGCTCTTGATTGGGAAACAAATTCTCCCTGTCAGCAACTTAGAAATTTATAGTTAACAGTAGGGAGAATATGAATACTGATTTTAGGGTTTTAGGGTTACATACAGGACCTCAATTACCTCTGCTTTGTAAATTCTGAGAGGGACACTGTGATGAAGTGAATTTTAATTTATCATCCACAAAACCTAGTGCTTCAATACAGAAAAATTGCAATCTGAAATATTCAAATGTTTTTAATGATCAGAACCAAATTTCATATCACTTTGCTGCCAAATGATATCCATTATCACTTTACTAGCAAGAATTTTTATGTGGAAATAAAGTTGAAATGATTTCATTGAGAAATAGCCACCAACTCAATTAGAGCTGCACATGGAGAAAGTAAACAGGTGCACCTTGCTCAAACTTTATATACTTATCTGGGAGAATTTTTGATTGATAAAGCATTGGATGTTGTCCTTGAGTAGCTTAGTGCTATAAAGTCAGACATGTAAATCAAGTGAGGCAGAGTATGCTATGATAATTTAGTTTTCCAAGCTTTCGTCGATCTATGGCATCATCAGGGAATGTAGATGGAATCTTTGAAGGATTAAAAAGATTCAAAAGATCTTTCAAAGGTTCCCTCTACATTACCTGATGATGCTGTAAATTGGCAGAAGCTCAGAAAACTAAATTATCATAGCATACCTGGCCTCACTTGATTTACACATCTGACTTTATTTTTGATTGAGTTTTGTCTTAACCCTTCAACCTCTAAGAGTGACTAACATCTAATTTCTCCTTACAACATCACCCCTGAATCAAACATTTAGGTCACGAGAATAAAGGAAATGATCACCAACTAAAAAAGCTCTTGATTGTTGAACAAATTCTTCTTGTCAGAACCCTAGGAAATGTCTAGAGAGTAGTATGGAGAATATGCATAATGATGTTAAGGAGTAAAGGGTTAAACCAAAACCAAAATGAGATTAGATCTGCTCACAGCAAGACAGGGGAAATTATTGCTCAAAACCATTAAGAAATCAATGAAAGTACAAACAAGCAAATTGCCTGAAGTGCAGGGGAAAATGTTTGATTGAATTCTGGCTGGTTTTAGTCTTTTACACATCTGTATCTCCTCAGCTAAATAAGAGGCTGACACAAGTCTTCTAGAACACGAGCGGAATGAAATAAGATAAAACCAAATTATGGAATACTTTGAGAGCTCAAAAATTACCAAAAGTTGTCCCAAGGACTAGTTGTAATTTTTTTTTTTACTTTGATGCAGAAACCAAGGAGTTAGAGCAGGATTTGCTCAAATTTCTTCAACAGAAAGGCAAGACACCATATGCTTGGCAGGAAGCACTTTTATCAACAGCTGCTGTGAGTTGATAATTTAACACTTGTCATGGGTAGTACTGAATGATGGAAATAAGTTACATTTAATGCAAGTTATTTTTAATTAATTATTCAATATTACTAATGATTTAGTTTATACCACACAGGTGAATAGTACTTTTTATGCATACTGATTGGATAGTTTGCTTGTTAGATTGAGTCATCACCCTTTTAATTATTATTAACCTGGGCAAGTGCACCCAAAACTTATTTTCCAATCCTCTGAGGATTAGGTTGTCACAAAAAAAAAAGAATGTGTGATCTTAATTACAAATTTAAAAGAGCTTTCATTGCTGACTGAGTTTCATGTAGTATTATGATCAATGCACTGTCTTTGGTTTTTTTTTTATTTTTAGGCAGTAAATGGAACAGTGTTACAAGCTTGGAAAGATGTATCATTGAAAACTCTTGTAGATAAAGGATTTCAAGTGTAAGCAGATGAAAACAATAATAATGGATGTTTTTAAATTGTCGTGTGGTGTACGGTTGCAGAGTAGTTGTAGTCAAAATCCAACTGAAAGCTTTGGAAGATAGTGGAAGTGACTTGCTTGCCAGCTGGCTGACTAATGTATCAATTCCCTGCATGGATAGGTGACTGATTGGTTCACTGACTGGATGAGGTGATTGATTTGTCTGATGACAGTCTAATTGGCTGACTAAATCTCCGACGGACTGACTGTCTAACTGACTGTCTGTAGGACTGACTGACTGACTGTCTGCCTGATTGTCTGACTGACTAACTGACAAATGAATAAAGGGGGTAAGTTTGAAAGATACTGTGATGCTGCGTCAGTGGGAGAGTATAACAGGGTAATTTTAGTATTATCAACTGAGTTGATAGTGTAAATTGGCCACCACAAAGAGTTACTAAGCTGAAGTTGCGAGCGTTAGCACTTAATCAATTACCTATATTTGTATTTATTGGTAAACTCACAGAGTGGTTGACCATGCATAGGGTACGTTGCCTGATTTTATCTTTTTCATTTGTATTTTTATTTAGGGTAAATGCATTGATGAATCACTTTTACCTGAATTATATTTCTAATGCGAGTGTGTCATGGACTGACATTGCAACAGGAGTAAGTGCTGAATTTTTAAAATCTTGTTTCATGCTTTTTCCATCATGAGAAACATGGAAATCGAGTGGTCTACTCTTTGTTAAAATCTTAGAGGTGATTCACTGGCAGTTTCTCCTTGCTGTTCAAATATGTTATCCTGGAAACTGTCTATGACAAGAGACAAGGTCATCAGCAAGAAGGAGACATCTTAATGAAAGAACAAGATTCTCCTGTAGTTGTTTTAAAGAAATGTATCGCAGTCAGTAGGGAAAATTTCATGGTAGTTAAAGGGTTTGTACATGTGTGCTTTGCTGCCAGTCAAAAAGACATTCAGTACATCAATTTGTTTTGCTCACAGCCAAGAGACTCTGTTACACTATCAACCCAATAAAATAGGTGTTGGCCTTTTACCCTTTTCATTAGACCATCGCTATAAATATTCTCTATACTGTCTCTATACATTTCAAACTGGAACTAGCAAAGAGAATTTCTTTAACAGACCCCTTAATTTGTTGATCATTTTTTGTATTCTCATGACTGTGATTTTGTATTCAGGGGGTGATACTGTAATTAGAATTTACATGCTTGTTACAGTAAGGGGTGAAAGAGTTACTGAAAACTGACCAGTGGCAGTATATAATTAGCAATTAACAATTAGTTACTTTTTGCATTTGGAACGTGGGATAGACCCTAAGTATCAATGATGGACTCCATACAGAGGAGGATATTGGGGGGTTGTGAACTCAGCAATACCGCAAAACATTCAGCAAATACAACAATATTGCAAAAGAAAATTGCCAAATACTACTGCGATACTTCAATTACTAGTTGAAACTTGATGTCATGCCAAAGCCACTAACTCTGTGTGTTACACTTAGAACACATAAAATAAAAATAGCAGCTAAGAATTTTTCTATGAACAATATCTTGTGTAATCATCAACTTCAGCCTGATTCTGAAACAATTTGAAATTGGAAAAGGCTCAGGAAATAGTAGAGGACTAGTAGGATAATTTTTAACACTGTCCAAAATGCTAAAAGAACCTCATCCTGCAAGTTTGGAGAATACTGCAGTACAGCCATTCAAGATAAAAATTACTGAAATACCCAAGAAAAATGTTCAAATGTTACAGTACCCCTAACCTTAATGCCTTTCTCTATGCGCTGTGCATGTTATTCACAGCACTCAACCTGCGTGGTATTAATTTTGTTCATGTGACAGTTAAACCCTGATGAACAGACAATGCTCCTTGGTGGTGAAATGGCAATGTGGACAGATGATTACTGCTTTGTGTCCGAGTGTTTTTTGTACAAAAGGGCTAAACCTGTTGCTTGGTGGATGTATGGGCCAGATGCTGATTCCCAGTTTACTGAATCAGTCAGCGGCATCGTAAGTATTGATCATATTATAATTATAGTTACAGTCAGTAAAGAGTTTTTAGAATTGTACAATAGTCCTTTGTCTATCCAGTGAGTTCAATTTGGTGTAAATGCATGAGTACGAATAAATTTTTCAAAGATAACAAAATTGCACAAGCCTTTAGGGCAGTTGCAATTTGTAGTCTTTGAAAAATTTACAAGTGCTTATGACACCAAATTGCAAGAGAAATCATGTTATTACTTGTCAATAGTCAGTACATGAAAAAACATCACAGAAAATCAAGACACAAAATTTTGAAAAATTTGCGAACACTTTTTGTAAATTGCGCCTGTGTTACAATTTTGCACTTCTGTTTTAACTTTGCACTTATGTGTAACATAAGAATGCACTAGATTTCAGCCAATCAGAGGCATGTAATATTTCATGTTCATTATTATAGCTTATATAGTATAATTATTTTTAAATTTATATTATTATAAACTCTTACAGTACTCTAATGCAAATACTACATTCTTGTCAGTTAACATCAAGTTCTGCATTCATTTGGTAATCCTACTGAATGTGATGCTAGTCCATCTTAATTAAATAACCCCCCTACTATTTGTCAAATTTCAAAGTGCACCTCCAACAAAAGGACTTCAAAGTACCTGGTAGAACCCTGCTGATTCAAAAAGTAAAAAATTCCAGTGTAAGATAGCAGAAAGTTTTAAGTTAGCTGAGAGGAAAATGATTGAAAGGGAAAAAGCTTTGAGTTCAAGAAGCTGAGACATGGGAGGCAATTGAGTTTGAGTCTGCAAATTAAAGTTCTATGGAATGAGGCTCCAGTGAGCACCGTGCGATAAGTGATATGTGTTGGCTACATCATAAAACTATTAGTTACTAAGATCATTATTATAATATTAATTAAATTGAATATTTGATAATTTTTTCAGATTTGGCCCAGAGCCATTGTTGGTGCTGGCTCTTTTTGGAATTATCAGGCAGACTTGAAACCTGACAGCCCAGAGTTTCAGATGAGAGTGGATAGTCAACACAAGGTCAGGCAATGTTTTGTGGCTTTGGGTGTGTGTGTGTGCATCAGTCACAGAAATCATTTAACCCTTTAACGCCTAAGAGTGACCAGCATCTAATTTCTCCTTACAAAATTACCCTTGAATCAAACGTCAAGGTCATGAGAATGGAGGAAGTAATCATCAACTAAAACAACTCTTGATTATTAAACAAATTCTCCTTGTCAGTACCTTGGGAAATGTATAGTGAATAGTATGGAGAGTTTGGATACTGATGTCAGGGGGTAAAGGGTTAAGGAATAGCCTCATGTAAAGAGACATCGGAGATTTAATCAATTGAATTAAGTTATTTTCATGTACAAGAAAGGACAATCATTGTTTGCATTGTTCTATGAAATGGGTTTTCAATGTTAGACAGAAACAGGATAGGTCTAAATTTTTTTCATTTTGTTTAAAGTCAGCAGCATTGGGAATCAAATAATTTGTCAGTAAAATTATAATTTTTCTGATTATTTTTTTCATTCCAGAGAATGATTGAACGTGGAATTCTTACATGTCCTTTGGGATGCAAGTGTGACTATCTTAGCAGGTGTGGGCAATCCTATCCACACCCCTAATCTTTTAGTATTGAAATATTGGTTGCAGTTTACTGTAGAATGTGTCTAAAGCCTGGGACACACCTGGTGATTTTATTCACCAATGAAAGCGATGGTTGACAATCGCAGATGTCTTACATGCCAGATATCAGCAATTTTATATGCCAATCACAGCAATCACATTTGTCATGTTTGGTAAATAAAATCACCAGGTGGGTTGCTGGCTTAAGGAATGAATAGGTAACCTTTTGTTCAGTCTGTGGTCTAGCACCTTCGCAAATGAATACTGTAGCTGTTAAATCAATTATTTCTATCAAACCATGTAGCTTAACTTTAAGGTAAAAGTCAGCTGGCTGTAAGAATTCTAGGAGATCTTAAGGTGTTTTTGGTCTCTGTTCATGAGTTTGATGGAAAGCTTCCAAAGATTCAAAATGCATCACCATCTGTGGAAACAAGATTCTCCTTTTAAATTTCTCCTGTTTTGAAGAGCTCTTTCAGAAAGGTGTGTTTCCAGTGAAATATTTATGGGGATTGGTGTGAACAGTGGGCCTTCAATAAGCTGAATCTATAGAAAATTCCAACAGATGAATCACTGTACTTCTCTGTTTGAATGTGTATGTCACCAAAGACCTATTTTTGGTCAAGGGTACATTGAACAACATCAAAGGAGAATTTATATTTTGATGGTAAACTCATCTATCAATAATCAATTGTCATAAGTGTGTGTTTCCTTTTAATGTTGCAAAATCAGAGGCTGACTCACAATATTTTATTCAGCTCTTAAGTGTTTTGATTGACTTTAAGCCAGCATGGTACATTAACCAGGCTATTTAAGTTACTAACACTATATTACACTGTAAACTGAGGTGTTAATTTACCGTTTTAAGAGAGAAATGTGGAGGAAAGTAAAACTTGAGTAAAATAGACTTTTTTTCACCATCCATTACAATTATGGATTAGATTCATGAACCAATTTTCCTTTTCATTTGTATCTAAGTACATGACTTGAAGTACAGTTTCTAAACCCATAAGTAAGAAAACCCTGCACACTTAAGAACAACTAGTTACACCAGGACTGTGCATAATTGTTCCTTCCCAGTTAAGCAAAGAACTTTTGTAAATGTGACTGTATTTTTGTCTTGAAAACTTCATTAAGGTCTGTAATTGAAACAACTTCACTGAAGAGTGTTTTCCCTTCAAGCCACTCACAGACCTTGACCATAAGTAATATACAAGGAGTGAACATTTAATAATATGTAATGTGCAGATGTTATTTAATAGCTGTGCTTAATTACCATAATTCAGGATTTATTCTTTAATTGAAATGTAGTTAACTTTAAGTTTAGCTACTAAATTAGTAATATTGCAATTACAAATTTTATACCTCATTGAAATGGTAAACTTTAAACACAGAGTTTGTAAATTAAGCCTCATCAACTGAATTATTAAAAATATTGCTTGGTGTTTATTGATATGATATCAAATTGAAACATTAAATCTGCAAAACTACAGGTAATCTTTGTTCAATCCACTCTAGAACGTCTTTCAGGAACGTGGCTGCACTTTCTTCCAGTTCATTCAAAATCTCATGACGGCAATCTTTGTATACCTTAGAATTGGAGAGAAGTATTGCACTATCAGTTAACTAAGATATAACTTTGAACTATCAAATGCTTTTTTGATGTTCAGGTCAGCTTGTGAACATCAATGGACATATCCCATAGCCCCTTAGTGACCAGCATCAAATTTCTCTTAAGAGTAATACTGCTGAATCATTCATTTAGATCATGAGAATAAAGGAGATAATAGCCAACCTAAGAAGCTTTGATTATTAAACAAATTCTCCTTGCCAAGGACATGTACAGAGAACAATATGGAGAGCTAAACATGGGCTAAACATTATTCAGACTTTCTGAAAAGAAGAGTCACTATTCCCTTGATATGAAAGACCCTCTGAATGTTACCTTGAATGTCTTGTCTTTACTTGGAGAATTCTCGTTTAGGAAGATTGAGCTGTCAATCTTTACAAGTTGATCGTCATCACCATGGGCAACAAAAAATGGTGTCTTAAGGGCAGATATATTTTTCTGAATGTCTTCCATGGTATTTAGAATGGCATTGGTCCATCTCGCTTTTAATCCACCATGCCAGTTAAGTGGGTCATCTGCATATTTTTTAGCCTTTAGGCAATCAAAATCAATCATATTTAGAATATAAAAGTACTAATGATAATCACTACTACTGATTACGATCCACATCATTTGAGTAATTCTTGCTGATCTTCAATTCATTTCTTTAGTTACTACTCAGTGAAAAGCATAGATCATATCTGCTAGTTTGAAGCAGATTAAATCATGTCCACCCACCTCTTTAGGATCACGACTTAATACTGAGGGATCAATTGGTGGGATAACCTGAAAGGCTGGTGCAATCCATGCTGCTATTTTCCCCAAGAAAACCTGCAGTACAAATTGTAAATGGCATTTAACTCCAGGCCTCTAGATATTAAATAAATCACAAGACCGACGTTGATCACTGGTCAAACCCAAGATGTGTGCCACTCTATTATTTCACTTAATTTTGACCCAATAATTTTAAAAATGATTGAAAGTGCTGTAAACTAGATATTAATAATTGTGATGTTAAATACATCCCCTTCAACAAACAATAATAGCCAATTGTTTGAAACATTATACAAGTTTAGCTGCCATGATAATGCTAAGGTTAGGTACCCACAGTAAATTGAAGCTAAGGAAGGGAAGACCACTTTTTTTATAGTTTTGTGAATTGTCTCTTACCAAACAAGCAGTTGCCACAGCTGGATCTGCCTTTACACTTGGTGCACTGAAAATTGCACCTGTAAAGAAATCAGGTCTGTCTAAAACAGACTGAATGGCTATCGTTCCTCCCTGAAAAAAGGGAAAAAATTCAAAATGTAATAATTTGTCCACAGAAACAGACAAAATTATTACAAATTCTATCCAAAGAAATAAATCAAAAGCATTGTCCAGTGTGCAAGATTTTGCAACCATAACCATATTAGAACACTCACCATAGAGTGTCCAAAAATAAACACAGGTATTCCAGAGTGGGTTGCTGTAACTTGATCAATGTGTTGAAAGACATCTCTGATATAGCAGTTAAAATTAGAGATTTGGACTCTTTCTCCATCACTATGGCCATGACCAACTTAAAAAAAAAAAAAAAAAATAGAAGAACTTGATGATAACATTTATTTTATGACAGGCTTCCCTTTAGCAAAACCAAGATCTGATTGGTAATTCTCCCCTCTAGCTGCTACACATATCTCTTAAATTAGTTATGAGAATTTGGTGCTAGATCAAGACAACAACTTCTACCTGATAAGTTTGAATATTCTCATTAGATGTTTGGTGGATAATGTAAGGATATTATAGGAAGAAGTTTCATGTTGATCACTTCTGGGAATTAAAGGGTTAATTCTGCATAACTATTTAGTGTTAACCTGTACAAGTGACTAGCATCTAAGTTCTTCCTACAGAATCACTTCTGAATCAAACATGAAAGTTATGAGATTAGAAAACAACTGATTGCCAAATAACAATTAATGCTCTTGATTGTTAAAGAAATTCTTCTCGTCATTACCTTAAGAAATTTGTAGAGAGCAGTATGGAGAATTTGCATACTGCTAAGAAGATGGAAATGGTGAAGACGTTATGATTAAGCTTGCATGCTTCTTTTGCTACTTAAAGTTTCTGTACTCAAAAACGAATTTAGTGATATCGAGCCATCTTTGCTCGATCATGCCTGGTCGAATAAATTTTATGGTAAGTACAAGAGAAGGAAAGATAATTATCTTGCATATAATTTCACCCCAGAAGAAAATATATATTTCTTACCATGATCGTGAGTGAAAGCCACATAGCCTCGCTCTGCCAAAGCTTTTCCCAGTCTTTCATAACGCGAGCAGTGCTCTCCAACACCGTGACAGATGAAAATCAGTGCCCTGTATACAGACAAAAGTACATAGTATTACAATGTTTCTTTTGTTTTCGGCTAGTACCGAACGGGAGTGGCCTTCAAGTCGATGATGAAGCTCAGATTCATGATATGTCTCACATCTGTCAGTGTATCTCATTTCTACCGCTAAAGTTCGTGTATTGGTAAACACGACAACATTCATCACGAAAATTGTTGCAAAACCATCGAAAGCCAAAAATAATTTATGGTTATTGTGTTATTTCGGAGACAGTATATCTTTCTCATAATCAACGTAATCCTAAAATTCTATATTATTTTATTGATGAATAAATTCGTGAACACCTTTGGTGTGAAATTTGCATATGTAGCACTTGTTGCTTGCATTTATATGCGAACAGAAAGAAATACTTGCGTGCGAAATACTTTCGTGTGGTTGTTCGTTGGAGAATTCATAAAACTCCTTTGCATGCTATTATGAGTTTGAGCAATTCACACTTCAAAATAAACTAGTGTGACTGAAATTTCTTTTATTTCTATTTAGTATGGTTCACACATCTAATTAGAAGGTAGAAACTTCTCTTTGACCATTATGCTGCATAGCGAACAAGAGGATCAGACGAGCTCATTGGAACACTTGCTTCAGATCAAAGCTTACAGTAAAACAAATCGTTAAGGTGTTTTTTTATCTACCGAAAATGAAAAGAAAATGACGTTTTTGCTGCGCCACAAAAGATGTTAAGAACTCAAAATCATGATTAGAAACTAATATACAAAATTATTATTTCTAACCTTGGTTTCTTCTCACTTGTTTTCCAATATTTTGCGAAAATTTTCTGTCCATCCGCATTTTTGAAAGAACTCTCCTCAGAAATAACTTGTCCGTTGGCCATTTCTCGCTTTTCTTGGGCAACTAACTTGAACAAAAGATACTACAAGAAAAGCTTTGGGTGAAGCAACCGCAAATCATACTGTAGCTAGCTTAGCAGAGCGTGTTAAACCGCTTAGTGTGTACCAAACAACTCATTTGTGATGCGTAAATGCAAATTTATCGGTTTCTCTTATGTGCAAACAGATCATACGTCACCTGTAAGCAGTAACACTTTGGCGGGAAAAAAGTAAGTGTGCTGCAGGCCTCGATCAGGGGAAGGGAAGAGGAAAAGAAACTCGAAAGATGAAAAGGGGAAAAGAAATTTGCATGAATAAGACAACATCCATACATGATTTATTTTTCAATATAAGTCCATCTGTAAGAATCTGGAGAAAATCGCATCTAAAATTATTCGGCGTAAACCCCATTTCCGATTTGTCACGTTCTTAGGCGACAAATTAACTAATTCCACCTCATTATATCTAGTCCTCTAAATATTTAGTAAAATCTCTAAAGAGCACATTTACTTAGCAACATTTCTTGAAAGAAAAAAATTTTTAAATCTTGTTTGAACTACAACCCTCCCGTCCGAGCGTAGCTACTCACTGATGATTCGGGCCAGGCTACTCAGCCTTCCAGGCGAGGTTACTGTGCATCAGTTAGAAGATTAGAGAGACATTTCTTTCAAAACTCATTGCCATTATTCTATTGAAATGCCGGTCGAAAATCTAGAAGAAGAGGGCTTGCCAAAGAATCCAAACCTTGAACTAGCAGCATGGCGCTTTACTCTAACGAATCCAGATGGAAAAAGCAAGGTAGACGCGAAGAAAAGGCTCTTGGAAGCCGTGAAAGAAAATGGTAAGCTCTCTGCTGTTTGATTAATTTTTCTGCCTAGTCATAGGCTGACATGCCATCTACATTTATAGATTTCACTCTTCATTTTGATTAATTGTGCCAATGATTTGTTTCTCTTTTCAATTTTACTAAGCTTAATCCAGCCTGAAGGTAGAGATTTCTCGTAAGTTGAAGTCGATATTTGTTACCGCGTGCGGATACATCAATCCCGAAACTAAAGAAGATTAATGATAAGAAATCTATTGGACGTTACAAAAGTTAAAGGTGCTCACATTTGATTAAGAAAATGATCAATTCCCACTCTGACTACTGAAATTTTCACAGTGCTCGTAGAGCTGTAGAAAGTGTGAGTCACTGGGAGCCACTGATTACATGGCTTGTTTAGCCCTTTACACCCTATCGTCATTATGGATATTCTCCATACTGTTCTCTATACATTTCCTAAGATGCTGAGAAGGAGAATTTGATTACTGATCAAAAGCTTCTTTTGTTGGGCATCATATCCTCCATTGTCATGACCTTAATGTGTGACTCAAGGGTGATATAGTGAGGAGAAATTAGATGCCAATCACTCTTAGGAGTTAGAGGTTAAAGGGTTAAGATCTACACATACAGTGGATCAAATTGGTTTAGAGTTAAGCAGGTTCTAGTAGGGGTGGTAAATGATACAAGCTGAAGGGCGCGATAAACATTAACCCTTTAACTCCCAGAAGTGATGAACATGTAACTTCTCCCTATGATATCCATGCATTATCCAGCAAACAGGTAGTGAGAATACTCTCAAACTCATCGGGTACAAGATATCACCTTGATTGAACACCAAATTCTTGTAATTAATTTACAAGGAAATGTGTAGCAGGTAGAGGGGAGAATTAACAATCAGATCTTGGGAGTTAAAGGGTTAATCTTCCACATTGCTATACTTAAATGAGACTACAGTCCTATAATGGTGTATATATGTCATTTACTGAGGATTGGAGATCTGAATGGGTAAATAGTGTGCCTTAGTCTTGAGTTTGGCTTATGGCCAAAGATGGAGAGTCACTCTCAAGATTACTGGTACAATTTTTCCTATACGGATGGACCTAGACTGGGAAATAACTGTTTTTTTTCCAGCTGGTTAGCCTTTTTTGGCACTTCGTTGTGAATGGTTCTACTAACCAATTAGCACCAGGGCTGGCTTTATAATACACATGGCCTCTACATATATTTGGCTTAATTTTCCAATATTTTTCTCTAGATATGGCTCCATTGTATGAAGAGCTCTGTACAGAGCTTAAATGGGATGTAGACAACTCTCTGCTGGCAATGATGCGTTCAAATAATGAAGAAATGGTTAAGAAGCTTGATGAGACACTAAAAGATGCTGAGGAAAACTTGGGAGAAACAGAAATCAGAGATGCTTTATATGCCAAAGCAGAATATCTTTGTAAGATTGGAGATAAGGTACAAATATGGAAGGAGTTCTTGAACTCATGTTTTTAGTGTCTGCACAGTATTTAAATGTCTCATTTCATTATTGAATAGTTGTCTTGGAAAATGTTTGAATGACGCAGTACCTATGATAATAAGAACAATAAAGGTTAACCATTTGACCCCTTAAAGTGACTAGCATCCAATTTCTCTCTACAATATCACTCCTGAACCACATATTTAGGTTACAAGAATATGGAAAATGATCACCTATGAAACAAGCTCTTGATCGTTAAACAACTTCTCCTTGTCAGCACCTTAGGAAATGTATAGAGAACAGTTTGGAGAATATGTATACTGATGTTTGAGTGTGAGGGGTTAACCCTTTCGCTTCTAGGATCTCATTAATAATTCTCCTTACTGTCTGATATACAATTCCTATGATGTTAGTTTGGAGAATTTGTTATTGGATCAACTAATAATCCCCTAATTTTCTTCCTTCTTATCACTTGTCTACTTGACATAGTATTAATAATGTAGGTAGGAATTCTGTCTTTGTTGCTAATGGAAGTTACAGGATTAATGATGTTTTGAAAGTAGAAAACATTAAAAGGTTATTGATATTCTATTACACTTGTTACGTAATTTATCATCAATGAAGACTTACACATGTGCATGAGTGTACTTTGGAAAAAATCCATTATTAATCATGCATTACATATTTTATACTTTTAGGAAAAGGCTTTGAGTGTTTTCCGTCTGGCCTATGACAAAGCTGTAGCACTTGGATACAAACTGGACATAATTTTTTACCAGATACGCATTGGTTTGTTTTACTTGGATAATGATCTGATTACTAGGAGTATAGACAAGGCAAAAATGTAAGTGCTTAAAAATGTTTCCAGTCACAAATTTAAAAAAGGATTATTTGCAAGGAATACCATAGCCTGTTCCAGGCATTCACATAATCCTTAACCCTTAAGAGTGATTAAAATCTAGTTTCTCCGTACAGAATCACCCCTGAATCAAACATGAAGGTCATGAGAATAAGGGAAATGATCAACAACTAAAGAAGCTCTTGATTGTTAAACAAATTCTCCTTGTCAGCATGTTAAGAAATGTGTACAGAACAGTATGGAGAATATGCATTCTGATGATGGGGTGTAAAGGATTAATAATACGGACCATGATAGCAAAATTAAAGGAATTATATTTGTAGGGGAGTTATTGGGTCAGGGCAAGCAAGCTGAGGTGGTGTGGTTGGTTCCTTACAAGACCTTTATAGCACCTCTCCTCTTTTTCATGTGATTGTCATGATCTGAGTGGTTTTTCTCAACCTTTTGCCTGGCACCTTTCCTTTCTTCTATTAGGTTATGGTCTTTCTTCTTCTTTTTCTTCTCCTCCTCCTCATTATCATTATCATCATAATTAAAACAGGTTAATAGAAGAGGGCGGCGATTGGGATCGTCGTAACAGGCTTAAAGTGTACCAAGGAATTTATTTTCTATCCATCCGTGATTTCAAGTCTGCAGCCAGTAATTTCTTGGATAGCATTTCCACATTTACTTCCTATGAACTGATGGACTACAAAACATTTGTCACCTACACTGTTCTCGCAAGTATGATCGCACTAGAACGGGTTGATCTCAGAACAAAGGTGTGTAATATTGTGTTGAAATTTTGCAAGTTCCAGTAACAGTGAATGAAAGTTATGTGCCTTAATTATCTAATGGTCTCTGTAACACAGAGCAGTTTTCATTTGATGACTGAAAATAATTCAAGATTGCATTTGGTTTCTGTTTTTGTTTTGTCTATGATTGGTCAAATAAACTTGCACCTCCAATTGCATAAATCAGATGCATGACTAAAACTAATCATGCTGGAGTTTTAGGCAACAGAACATTTATTATAACAAAATTTCAAACTTGAAAATACAGTCATGTTGCCAAAACTTATGTGTTTGGGAAGTGAATTCCAATTTGAAGTGGAAAGCTTTTTACATGTTAGCCATTTATTCCACAAGCCTTGTAGCAACATAAGGTTTTGTTATGAATATTCTCATGGGTAAGAAATCGAATTTAATATAGTTTTTCTCTCTCTCCCAGGTGGTAAATGGTGCAGAAATCCTTGAAGTTCTCCATCAGCTTCCTGTCACCAGCCAGTTCCTTTTGTCCTTTTACAACTGCCACTATGCAGATTTCTTCCTTGCATTGGGTAAGAACAACCTCCATGGCAAAACCACCACTTATAAAACGGAGGCTAATCTTATAAATGCTCTTCTCATCCTATTTTGCTGTTACCTAAGTTCAGAGCCCTCAAGCAGGCTATGATTGTATCAGTCACAAGTCAAAATTGAATTTTTAACTTTTATGTTTGTGTGTTGCTTTCAGTGATGTGACAATGAATTTCCTGATCCTTTACCTTTTGTAGCAAAAATTGAGGACTTCTTGAAGCAAGACAGGTTGCTAGCACCACACTGCAGATACTATGTCAGAGAGATGCGAATTCAGGCCTACACACAGCTGCTGGAGTCTTATCGCAGTCTCACATTACAATACATGGCTAATGCCTTTGGAGTTAGTGAGGAGTTTATTGATAGGTAAGTGACATATCACTGTTTTTAAGTTTTTGCCTTGCCTCCAGGCTGCCATATCCTTTGTTGCTGTGGCTATTTCAGTTTGGGATTTCAGTTCTGCTTTGTCTTTTCTTTGCTACAACTTGTTTGGTAGGTCTTATCCAAGTTAGTGCAATACAGAAGAACCTGGCTTAACTTGAACCCTCATAGACAATTAACTCCAACAAGATCAAGTTTCCCATGAGGATTTCATCTCATTTTTCCTCTCATTTACTATCAGCTAACTCAAAGTTAGTCAGTTCAAACTCTTTGCTAACTTAATCAAGAGCCAGTTTCCCTTGGATTTGACCCTATTTTGTTCAGTCATTTACTATTATGGCATATGGTCTCAATAAACCAACTAAATAAGCTATTTTTTGTTAAACAAATTCTCCTTACCAGCACATTAGAAAATATACAGAGAAGGGTAGTGAGAATATGCATTCTGATGTTAGGGTATAAAGGGTGTACTGAAAGATGATTTTTGATAAACTCTGTTTGATATCCCCCTTGTATGAATTGATTAATTGATTGATATGGTCTTTTTCTCTTTAGGGAACTTTCACGATTCATCGCAGCAGGGAGATTGAACTGTAAAATTGACAAAGTTGGAGGAGTTGTGGAAACCAATAGGTAAGAAATACTTGACCAGTAATAATCAAAGCTGAAGTATTGAATAAGTGTTTTCTTATCCTTCAGAGAATCTAAAAATAGGTAGGTTTGTTTTTAGGCACCTTTCACCCTTGAACTCCCATGAGTGACCAAGAGAGAATTTCTCCTTACAATATCAATAAAATATCAAGCAGACAAGTGATGAGAACAAAGAAAAATATCAATCAGGGGATTATTAATTGATCCAATACCAAATTCTCCAAAATAACATCATAAGAACTATACAGTAGACAGTAAGGAGAATTACTAACAAGATCTTGGGACTTAAAGGGTTAATTCTGTATTGTTCTCTTGCAACAGAAATTCTAGAAGCTCTATTGGTCTCTTTATTTACTATGTCCACACAGCATTTAATCTACTACTGAATGTAGTTAAACTTTTGATTATTCCAATTACTTCTCAACTTGCAGCAAGTATGAATGCCTTTTTTTACCAACTTGCTGCACTATCATAATAAAACATGTGGATTTTGAAAAATTTCCTTCTGAAATATCCCTGAGGCTGCTCTAACTAGAATGCATAATTTACCATGGCAATTTTACAAATAAACTAATAACTTTGATTTGTCAATTTTGCAGGCCTGATCATAAGAATTGGCAGTATCAGGTATGTGTTGAGTAGAACTGTAATAAAAATTTATTATTTTGAGGTTGAGATGGCTGAGGGACTTAGCCTTTTGATCACTTCTAGGATGAAGGGAGTTCTCAGGGTATCAGCGACCTACAACCATATGTCAAGTTGCTAATGGGTGCAGTGTACCATCACTGCTTTTTCAACGTCATTCACTACTTAATTTGTATTCTTTGTTTTGTTGATGAAAGTAAAATTTAACTCCAACTGAAATATGTTCTGTTTTTCTTCCCAGGCCACCATAAAACAGGGGGATCTTCTCCTAAACAGAATCCAGAAACTCAGTCGTGTCATAAACATGTAACAACAGTCATAAACCTTTCCAACCTTTTTTAGTAATAACAAACCTTTTCCCTCCTACTGAAGATCGATGTAAGGTTACAAAATATAGTTATTTAAAATGCTTTTTTGTAAACAGTACCATTTTGGTTTAGACAAAAAATGTCTCTGACAAAATAAAGATGTCCTTTGGATGAAATAACATTCAGATTCCAAGTCAAATCATGTGCCTTTATTTTTTCCTAATATTTTTTACCTAATGTGTAGTTAAATCTAGTGTCAGATATCCGACTCTCTGTGGATGCAATTTAACATAACCATACTGTAGATCTTTTGGAGGAGAGGGAGGTGGAGGAAGGGGGGAGCTATGAACAAAAATGTTTCCTTACAATGCATGGGGACTAGCCTTTGAACAATCCCCAGCTTGGAGTCAGGCAGGCCCCCTGCTGATACCAATTTTGTGCTGAAAGGTCTGCCCTTCCTAAATAAAGATGACTTGACTTGACAGCTGTGCAATAAAATATGGCATAACGGCATGAAAGTTATGCACAAGGGCTCTAGTGTTATTCAGGGTTTGTATGGGTCCTAATAAACCTGGAAAGTCCTTGAATTTTATTTTGACATTTTCCAGGACTGGAAAGTCCAGGAAAAAGACTTCAGGTCCTGGAAAGTCATGGAAATCTGCTTAACTCAGGCAATTAAGTTTTCAGAATTTATCAGTGTAAGAAATGTATGTACATGTAGACTGTAAGGAGAATTCCTTTTGAAATCTTGGAAGTGAGAGGGTTTAAGGTGAAATTTTAAGTCCTGGAAAAATTTATTTGCATCTTGGAAAAGTCCTTAAAATTTACTTCTGAAAAAGGGTACAGATCCTGTGTATTGCAGTGTTTTGTGACATATTTCTTGTTATTTTGATGTGGGGCCTCTTGAATAGAATTTCTAGGAAGTATGGTGAATTTTGAGCCATGTTGTCAGGTAAAGGAAAATATTTGATTTATTTGTTTGTCATCAGCAAGGGAAGAGGAAAAATCCAACTTCCCCAATTGGAGCTGAACCCCAGGAGTTCTGATTCACATTAGGCACTGAATGTGATATTCAATTCTTTGACAACTTTATTTCCACCAACAAAGTTTAAAATAATGTCTGTGCATAGATTTTGTCTGTGTTGGTCTGTATAAAGATCTCTTGTTTAAAAAAAATGTACAGAATGGCCAAAGATACATCTCTTTGCTATTCTAGTTCAAAAGTAGTATTTTAAACTTCACCCTTTCACTCCTATGAGTGATCAGGACAGAATTTCTCCCTACAATATCAATACAATATCAACCAGTTAGGTGATGAGAATAAAGGAAAATATCAATATGGGGATAATAAGCTGATCCAATACTAAATTCTCTGAACTAACATAAGAATTGTGAGGCTGACAGTAAGGAGAATTACAAATTTGATCTGGGAATTAAAAGGTTAAACGTTTGCAGTTACTGAATACAAATCCCTAACTTTTCAGAGCAGGCTTTCAAAATACAAATCCCTGCTGTGGTAAATTCACCACTGATCTACTTAAAACTTCATCTTAAATTTATTAACTATGACCAAACAGAAGAACAAAACTATCAAAAAACATTTTGACTTATCTTCCATATGTCATGGATTTTGACCTAAGCTTTGTTTCTTCAATCTCAATCAGCCAAAATACTGTTTATATTATCCAGCTAAGATGTCAAAGACTAAACAGGAGAGTTGAATTTCTCAAATTTCACCTATTGTCCGAGGCAAAAAGTTACACTTTGACATAATTGTATAGAAATACTAGTAATTCTTTTTTTATAAGCAAATGGCTAAATCTGAGTACAACACTAATGCAACTTAAGGTTAAGTGTTGAGTAAAAGAAGCAGTACCATCAACAAAAAAGTCAGAAATTTTCAAAGTACGTACACATTGCAAAGCAAGCATTAGTAATACAATAAATTGTTTTTCACCTTGACTAACCCTACAATTTACTAGAGATCAATGATTACCATGAAGAAGCATTGTCCAAAATCTTTCACTTGCTTCAGCTAATCACACACTAAGAAATTAGAATTGTCACAGTGGTAAATGGTGTAATGCATTATTGATAATGGTTTGGCAACACTTTTTAAAAGTTCATTCCAGGAGCACAACTTTATTGCTAGGAACAAAATTTCTTAGAAAAATTATTTAATATTCGATTACTTTTATTACAACATCACAGTTTTATTGTACACAAATATTAAAAATTTGAGAAGTAGAAAGAGATGCAACGTATTGAATTGTAAGTTTCCAAAAATAAATAGCTTATTTTGTTGATTAGATGTTTGGAAATTCGCACATTTGAATATCTCCTTAGTTGTAGCATTTATTATTTTTTGTGATAGTACACATTTGCACATATACACAGCAAAATAGTTGTGAATGAGTTGAAGTAGATTAGCTTTCGAAACTTTGGATCAACATCTCCTTGTCTGTACCAATAAATCTGTAAGATAATTGTAGTAACAATTTAGTAAGTCTTAATGTCTCAATTCTGATAAGTTTAAGCTTGTGGCAAACTCTCTGAATGGTTCCATCATACCTACAGCTGATAATGTTTATGTATAATTTTTTGCTGAGGAAGTTTTGTCATCTAAATTTACTATCAGTTGTTTCACAGTAATTTTAATAATAGTTGAATTCCTTTATGGCAAAGGTTATTAGTTAGCTACATGCAAGACAACTCAAACTATAACGGTCTTGATAATTCTTGTTATAATTAAGAAATGGAAAACAGTGAGTGTTTATTGCAAACTAATACAGCAGATTAGGGCTACAAAGAGAGAATTTTGCACAATTAAGGTGAATAATAATAATAATAAAAATAATAATAATTATAGGACATTTATAATGCACAAATTCCATAAAATGTTCAAATGCACATGACAAGATTAAAAACAAAATAAAAAAGGCTAAAAAGCTGAAATTACAATTAAGAGTAAATTTACAATGAATCATATATAAATGAATTTTTTTCTTCTCAGACTAAGGCCAGGAGAAAAAGTAACAGCCTGGTGCACTTTTAGGTGACTTACCAGAGTGAGTTCTGATATGCATATCATTGAGATAATAGAAGCAAGGAAGACATTGATTGCTTTGGGTGGGAATTGCGGGAACACCAAAGAGCTTATCAAGGTCTCCTGCAAAAGATGGATTCATTACTATTTTACAAAATTTTCTCCATTGGCACAAAGTACTGTTACCGGTGAGTAATGAAAGTTTGAGAGGAAATAAGATAGGTTTTTAACTCTTAAACCCCTTAGGGTTACTAGCAACTAATTCTCCATACAATATCACCCCTGAATCACTGATACAGAAGCTCTTGATTGTTAAACAAATTCTCCTGGTCACCACCTTAGGAAATGTAAAGAGAACAGTGAAGAGAATATTCATACTGATGTTAGGGTGTAAAGGGTCTTAGTAACTAATAATTTAGTGTATTTGTCATGGAGTATGGTCATGTAAGAGAGGAATGTCCTTAAGGGGATTGCTTTTAGTGACCTTGACCAGATTAGACTGGAGATCCATCAACAAAGAGGTTGCAAATTTCATACATACTGATAAGTACGTGTCACAAAGTGAGCACTATACTGTGATTTGCCTTTTACCAGGACTAACCCTAACAGTTACTGGATATTGATGATTAGCACAGAGAGAAGCAAAGTCCAAAAAGCTCACTTTCCTCAATTAATCAAAGACTTTGGTTGCTTTACATTTTCAATAATTCATTCAGTCAAGAAGTATAATTGGGAACTCACAAAACTGTCAGCAGTGTGTCCTAACCAAATGATTCAGGAGAGAGAGGAGGGGGTGGGGCTGGTTACTAACATCTCATATAGAAAGAGTATAAACTGGGGACATCTCCACGATTTTTGCAACAATGACTAAAATAAAGTCCCGTGACTCATGAGTCAAAGCTCAGCAATGATCCATGAATGATGTCACGATTGATAAATAATTATTTATACTTACACAGACTAATATGACCGTGACTGCTCCGACGACATAATTAAAGTAGCGATCCTATCGAAAAAAATCGAAAATTGTCAGAAATAGAAAAAGCAAAACTTGAAAAAAAAATTCATTGACCTTAAGTTTGTTTAATTTTTTCGGAAAATGATATTTACACGAAATTTGCCAAAATAATCAATAGATCATATGAAATGTTGCAAAATTGATGACACGTAGCAACTTGCTTCATCGATCAACGATCAGTTGTATTTTTGAACTAAAACAAAAATTAAAAGTTCGAGGTTTGGTGTTGAAAAACTGTTCAAATCGTTGGTAATCAGATCGTTGTCCATTTACTATTATAAACAACTCGTGATTATAACTTAAGTAACGACTTGATCACCCTAAGCTACAGGACAGAAAACCTCTTCAACCAGATAATTTTACCTACCTTTGGTCTTGCCTCGCCAAATAACGGCTTATCCAATCCATTATACATTTTTGCTATAAAATTCCCTGCATCGTAAAGTCAACGTTCATAAAATATTTTCTTGGAAAGTTCGAGATATCTTTGATTGATTCTGAGCGAACTCCTGTCGATTTCACAGAACTTGAGCTCTCTCCGTCACCAGAAATTGTTCAAAATCTCTGTTCCCTTCTCCAAGTTTAGGGCTGAGTATCAGCAAAACTAAACTTGTGATAACTGGCTCTATGTGTCAATTGGATTGGTGGTAATTAATCGATGTCGTAAACCACCGAATACGATCAGGATCTAGCTTACTTTTCTTCGTAGCTACACTAGGAAAGCGCCCGCGATGCCGGAAGTACGTCATATAGCTGGCTCATTAAAGACGCATGCTCGTAGTTTAGTTCCTTTGAAATCCAACATGGCGGCCTTACCCCGTTATGGAACCATGTCCACAATTTGCAGAAAGTGTGTGGGGCTAACTAACAGATTTTGGCTTCGATCTTCGCAGGTGAGTGTGAATTTATTCTTTTAATTTAACTGTACCTCCACTAATAACTTAGTTGTCAAGTAGCGTAAAATATTTTTGTTGTTTGAGGTAAAGGTATTTTATTTGCATACATGCGCGCGTGGCAACTTTCTTGGATGTGAAATTGAGGGCTCGCTTTCAATTTCAATTCGTCTTGTAACTTGTTAGATCAGACTAACTAAGTAAGGGTCTCTATCCGCTTTATACTGATTTTTTTTTCAATAGAGTTATTAGAATGGGTTGCACATCTTTGGGATTTTGGGGTCAAGAAAGTTCTAGTGAGTAGGGATTTAAAAATTCGATGATTTGCCGTTAAAAAATTGTCATTGTTTTACCAAAAGTGACTAAAATGGGATCTTCAACTGGCTACTGAGTAGATAGAATTGGGAGTTTTGAGAGGCCAGTAGCACACACCCAGCAAAAATTGACCCCAGTACTTCCCCCCTCCCCCCTCCTTCCCTCTCTGGGTGTCATAATCAGAAGTACTGGGCTATGTGATGTAGTCAAAATCAAATGGAGGGAGTTAGAGGCAGATGCATATGGTCTGGTGAAAACTAGATTGTTAGAGTCAGATGCACTTGTGGGACCTGAATTTGTTGCCTGTACTTCAGATTGTGACTATGAGAAGGAAAGATGTGAGATCTTGAAGAGTTCCTTGACTCTCTCTTCAAAGCACTTTTCCTTATAAGGCTAAAGGAGTTCTCAGTTCTCTTTTTGAGATTGTAATAATCTGGCTTAAGCAAAAATAGGACCATTAACATTTCCGGATTTAGACTGTATTGATGGCTGATTGATGTGTTTTGTTTTGTTTGGATGCATTTCCTCATGTGTGCCCTTTATGCAGTCTAGTTAATTGGGGGATTATTAGTTGATCCAATACCAAATTCTCCAAACTAATATCACAAGAACTATATGGCAGACAGTGGGGAGAATTATTTATGCAGTCTAGTTAGATCTTGTTTTTATTTCCAGGCCAATGCAGTTAGTATTACTCCAGTCAGATGGCTGAATCTCCAAGAATTCCAGAGCAAAAAATTAATGGCAGACAATGGTCTTCATGTGCAGCGATTTAAAGTGGCAGAAAGTGGTAAAGAGGCAGTTGCAATTGCCAAGGAACTGAGTAAGTTGGTGGTGGAGAAAATTATATTATAAATAACAAATAGGTACCATGTTTCAGTGTGTCAGTTCAGTAATAGATCACAGATAACATCAAAATGAGGTGAGAACCAAAAAGTGGCACAGAAGTGCTGCCAAGTGTGTCACTAATATTCTTACCACATTTTCCACGTCTGCAGTGATCTGTAACTGAACAGACTCATAACAACATGGAATCTAATTTTTTTTATGTAATAAAGAAGCCAAAATATGTTGATGGTGACACCATCTAAGCATTTGTTCTCCAATAGATCATAGGTATGAACCAATCAAAATATGTCTATCATCACAAGTATTATATACCAGTAATCATAATTTGATAGGGTTCGTCTTAACATAAAAGTGGTTTTGATGCCAGTCCATGATTAAGGTGCAAATCTGTGTCACTACATGTGGGTGTATATCACGGAAAATTTCAGAAGACACATTTTTTAAGTGTCTGACACTCGTGTATGGTTACAGTGCTATCAAGGTATCCAGTTAACTGTTCCACTCCTAGGGGTGATCAATAAGTTGTTTCTCCTTACAGTATCGGTAGGCTACTTTGCGAATCATGCAGAAAGATAGATAATAAATAATTTTGCGAATCATGCAGAAAGACAGATAATAAATAATTTTGACTGATTCTAACATCAATGTCTGGCTTAAAAAAAGATTTTCAAATATGCCCAAGAATGTTGGAAATCACAACTCTGGGAGTTTTAAAGTTCAAATTTTCCAGGAGAGCATTCCTCACAACCCCCATAGAAGAGTGACTGTGTTGTTTTGCGACATGCCTTACTTGCTAGGCAAGCATAATTTAATTCGTCCACCTCTAAGTTCAGGTCGTATACCTCTTAAACTTTCTAATGACAGCCCTGATATTTAGATAGTGCAGCTGCCATTCACAATATTGTTATGTTGTAGATGCTAAAGAATTTGTACTTAAAGCACAAATCCTTGCTGGTGGAAGGGGAAAGGGAACATTCACCAGTGGCCTTCAAGGAGGTGTTCATTTGACGTCAGAGTAAGTCAGTGTTTACCCAAATTGCATAGTTTCTCATGAGGTATACTTTTATTGAAAGCATTTTTGTTCTTTGGTAAGGTTAAAATAATGAAAATTTAATTCATAACCATATAGTTTACATATTTTTTAATTTATCTCTTGTGTTTTACCCAAGAACACGACGATAAAGTACTGGGGCTTATAATAACCTTTTTCACCCTGATACCAGTCTGTTTTTTCTCCCTACTGTTCTCTATACATTTCTTAAGGTGCTGACAAGGAGAATTTGTTTAACAATCAAGAGCTTCCTAAGTTGGTCATCATTACGTTCATTCTCGAGACCTTAACGTCTGATTCAAGGGAGATATTGTTAGGAGAAATTAGATATTAGTCACTGTTTGGTGTCTTAAGGGTTAAATTCCAATGTCTTTATCATTACACGCCACTAATTTCTTGCTTTGTGGTACTTTAAAATTTTTTGTTACTGATTTATTTTACTCATTTTTTGTATTCAGTCCAGAAAAAATTGGTGAATTGACAGACCAGATGGTGGGATACAACTTAACAACAAAACAAACACCTCCTGATGGAGTGCTTGTGCAAAAGGTAAACAATGATAGTATCAGGATTTAATCTTTCTTTGTATGTTGATGTCATTGCAATGTCAAGGTAGGTTAAGTCTGGGTACCAGACAATTATGAATAGACATGCTTATATGTGGTATATGACATAAGAAGTCACGCTGTGGCGCCCATCAGTCTTGTATTCATGTAACAGGTGCGTCATCGGGGATTGTTTTGGCTACACAGCCAAGTTTGCATATATTGTAGGGTCAGTAAATAAATCTCTGTTGATGTTTTTTCACTTCTCACTCATATTTTGGACGTAAAACAATGCAATATGCTACACTATATGCAACATCTCTTTTCTTAAAAACTTATTATCTTGTTTACTTTGGTTACATTTTGTTTAAATATTCCATATACGAGTGTTACTTCATTTTTCAGATTTAAATTGGGTGTGGTTCAACTTAAGAGTCAGAGGAAATGCCAAAAAATATTTTTTGTGTGCTAATTGTCCTTATTTTTGGTGTAAGTTTGAGTGATCAGTCTCTGGCATTATGACGACCAGTGACTTTCATTGTTTATATCAATAATTATTGACTAGACATAGGTGCTCTGATGTTAAGAGTATTTCCTTTCTGTCTTTAACCCTTTCACTCCTAAGATCTCATCTAGCAATTCTCCTTACTGTCTGCCATACAATTCTTATGATGTTAGTTTGGAGAATGTAGTATTAGATCCACTAATAATCCCGTAATGGATACTTATTCTTTATTCTCATTACTTGCACGCTTGACATCATCTTGATATTGTAAGGAGAAATTCTGTTTTGATCACTTATGGGAGTCACAAGGTTAAAAGAAACAGCCAATGATTTCACAAGTAAATTATGAGGATAAACAGGAATACGTGACTTGGAAAAATATAATATATTTTCTGATTTTTTGGTAGGTAATGGTAGCAGAGAGTTATGATATTTCACGTGAGACCTATTTAGCCATTTTAATGGACAGAGGTTATCAAGGACCTGTTATTGTGGGAAGTCCTAAAGGTGGTGTTGATATCGAGGAGGTCGCAGAAAAAACACCTGAACACATACACAAGGTAACTTTGACCATTCTAACTTAAAAACCTGATCAGCATTAATCTTACATTAGAGGGCTTGTCGATTGACTTTCGTAAAAACAAAACCAAAGGAGGAGGGCATTGGGATTTTCGATTTTGCGGTTTTGGCCATTTATAAGATCGGTTTTCCGTTTTTTTTTTTTTCGCTAAGAAACGTCGGTTTTTTCGGTTTTGGTTTTCGTTGAAGTTTGTGGATTTTCCGTTTTTCAGCATTTGGTTTTCCGTTTTGTTAAAAAACACTAATGGGTGTTCTGATTTGGTATCCGATGTGGTTTTGGTTTTTCCTATTTCCGGTTTCTTCTCGATCTGAGCGGCAATAAGGCGCCTTTACTGATCTCGAGTAGCCGCGAAAACCTCTGTTTGCTCCACTTGTCACTGACTGTATCGGATCGATTTGGGTTTCATTTAACTGGGATGTGAAAATTTATCGGTTTTGATGATTTTGCCTACGCTTTTCGGTTTTAATCAATGAGAGGAAAGCAAAATAACCTGAAGAACTAATGAGAACTCAAAGTAAAACCAACCACACAGCCAATCAAGCGCATGAAAACGCGGGTAACCAAGTTGCGATTGGTGTAAGTTTCGCATGTGATTGGTTGAGAGAGTGGGGCGAGTTTTCGGCAAAATAAAGCAAATCCAATGCAATCTCTATCGTGCAAGACGTCGTGAATATTGTCTCGACTTTTTTCATTTGCAGGTTGCTGTTGACATCTTTAAGGGGATCACTGACGAAGATGCAAGATACCTTGCGGAGAAATTAGAATTTCAAGGACCTTTGTTAGAAGAAGTAGGTTAATTGGACAGAAATTCATGTACATGTAAAAATTAACTCGTAACGAATAGTCCCCTGCAAAACAGGTAATTGCGTTTCCCAAGAATCGTAATGTTTCCTGAGACGGAGCCGATTTAAGTGACATTTGATACATAGCACAACAAAGACACCAGAGCACGCAATGTTAAAACAAATAGCACATTTTTAA